CCCGGCGCCGCTCACCACCCCCCGTCGCCCGTATCTCCGGAGCCGGGCCGAGATAGCGCCGCCAGCGCCGCTAGCACGGCCAGCGCCCGGAGCGGGAGCGCCATGAGCCCGCCGCCCCACCCGCCGCGCAGCGCTGGCCTCCGCGTCGTCGAGGCAACGGCTGGCGCCGGGACAGCCCGGAAGTGGGCTTCCGCGACCCGCCCCGGAAGTGCCATTTCCGGAAGGCCCCCGCCGGTCACCATAGCGACACCACCCGCCCGAAGGCCCCCGCCCTTCTCCTGACGCTCGACGGGCCGGCGCGCGGGTGACAGCAGCCCCTACAGCGGCTCCGCTGCTTTTATTGGTACACAAGCCCCTGCCCCTCCACCCCGGCACAGGTCAGGAAGGCCAGTGTAGCCTCACAGGCCTAGCGCGGTTCCTACGGAGCTGCGGGGACCGGCTGCTTTTATTGGTACACAAGCCCCTGCCCCTCCACCCCGGCACAGGTCAGGAAGGCCAGTGTAGCCTCACAGGCCTAGCGCGGTTCCTACGGAGCTGCGGGGACCGCGGGCAGGCAGGCCCAGTCAGGAGTACTCGCAGAGGTGGCCACAGCCTGCGGGGCAGTGGGAGCTGCCCTCCAGCCACTTCATGATGTGCTGCAGGTGGCCGCCGTGGCTGCAGCCCTGGCACCACACGAACAGACCCTTGACCACGTGGTGGCAGACAGCACACATGCTGGCGCAGCGGTGGCACCTGCGGGTGGGAAGGTGCCTCAACTGGGGGTTCCAGGGCTGCCTGCCTGTAGGCCCCCACCTACCTCTCCCCCACTGCCCCACCTGTCGCAGACCCAGCCCCGACTGCTCATGGGCCGCTTGCAGTGGCTGCAGTTGACGTGCAGGGTGGTGGAGGCCTGGTTGAGGCAGCTGATGGCGCGGCTGGTGCTCAGCTTGACCACCTCATTGGACACGTTCCAGAGACGGAAGCGCTGCAGCAGGTCGATGTAGGACGTGTACCAGTGTTCCTGGTGGGGGGAGGGAGGTGGTCACATTGGGAGTCAGAGGCAGCAAGGCAGAGGTTGGCCAGGCTCAGGCTGGGAGGCAGCAGCTTGGGTTTTTACCCAAAACATGCAGAGGCTGTGGGCAGCAGGTGTTACAGGGAGGCCCTGCCCCACCTTGGTCACACACCTGTGTCTGCTCATCGATGTCCTTGCGTACCCGTTCACCCACCACGATGAGCACTGACACGGCCATCTGCACGTCACCTTGCTCGGCGTAGAAGTGCAGCATGTCTCGCACCAGTGTGCTGAAGAAGTCGGGCGGCAGGCGGCTGTCATAGAGCGCATGCGAGACAGACAGGAGCGAAAAGGAGTCCATGGGGGCCAGGGAGGCTACATCCGCCTCGCTGCCGCTCACATGTGGCGAATCGGCCTTGTCCTGCAGGTGTTCAGGCCCAGGCGGTGTGTCCACAATCTCATGGCGCAGCGGGAAGGCCTCCTGTGGCAGTACATACTCGGGCTCCTCGGCTGGGAGGCAGGGGCCGGGCGAGGTGGGTCTGAGACTCTGTCTTCCATCTGCCTTCCAACCCCAACCCCACCCCGAGATCCCCACTCACACTGCGTGTGTTCTGGGTCCAGCAAGTACAGCTCGTCCTCCTCGCCCTCCACATCTCCCAGCAGGTAGTCAGCGGGCACATCACTGCCCTCAGTTTCCTCGTTATCTGTCCGGCAGGGGAGGGAGGGCATCAGGGGGGGCTCGCTCTGGGATGTGGCAGCCCCACCCCCATCAGCACCCCCTGCCCGCTGTTCAGCTACCCTCATTGGTGACCAGTGTGGCCGAGGACTCGAGCAGAACCGTGTCGCTCCGTGTGTCACCTTTGCTGCGGTCTAGCCGGGTCTCGCTGCCCAGCCCTGGGGCCATATCTTTCAGGCTGAAACTAGGGGCAGGAAGGGCAGATGGGTGGATGGGCTCCAGCAGTCCCACCCTCTAGGGAGAGCCAGCTCAGGCGTCTACCTGTTCATGAGCGGCAGGCCACAGGAGCTGCCCTTGCCCACGCTGTGGTTAAGGTTGGTGGAGGGCACCAGGCCAGGGCTACAGTAGATGATCCGGAGCATGGTCCATGTCTGCGCCACCTAGGAGTCGTACATGTCACTCATGAGGTCCTGGGCACCCAGTACCCCATGCAGGCCCCCTGGCCTGGACAGAATCACAAACCCTCAGCATTCAGCTGTCCCAGGGACCTCATGTGCTAGTCCACCCTAGGTGGGGAAACAGACCTACAGGAAAGACAAAAACATCAGTGTCGGGCCGGCCTGTGATCTGCGCCACCTAGGAGTCGTACATGTCACTCATGAGGTCCTGGGCACCCAGTACCCCATGCAGGCCCCCTGGCCTGGACAGAATCACAAACCCTCAGCATTCAGCTGTCCCAGGGACCTCATGTGCTAGTCCACCCTAGGTGGGGAAACAGACCTACAGGAAAGACAAAAACATCAGTGTCGGGCCGGCCTGTGACTCATTCGGGAGAGTGCGGTGCTGATAATACCAAGGCCACGGGTTCGGATCCCATATAGGGATGGCCGGTTAGCTCACTGGATGATCGTGGTGCTAACACCACCAAGTCAAGGGTTAAGATCCCCTTACCAGTCATCTTTTTTAAAACAAAAAAACCAAACAAAACCAAACAAAAAAAACCCATCAGTGTCCATCCCAGAGCAGCACAGGACACAGAACTGGGAGACAGCCAGTGGAAATGGGCGTGGGAAGCAAAAGGGGAACACAGGAACAGCTCGCACCTCACTGCAAGGCCTGATGCCTGATCCAAAAGCAAGAATGAGGCAAAAGACGGGGCTTTAGCCACAAGACTCCCCAGACCTTCACCCCCACAGAGGACAGCCCTGTGGTTTGGTCCTCTCTGGGGCCCCAGATGATCTTGATACCCTCAGTTTCTGGGCCAAGGGCTGATGGTGCGACTGGCCAGAGCCAAGCACTGAGCTTGGGGTGGAATGTGGGTGCACCTGTCGGAGGAACCAGCCCCTGCCCCAAGCTCATGGCCCCTGAGCACCCTTAGCCCAGCTCCACCTACCTGGTTGCGGCCGAGCTCCCGGGCGACCCTGGCATTGTGGTCACAGAGCTCGGCCAGTGGCCGTCCAGCCAGAGCATAATGCTCAGCCGTGTCTACGAACCAGCTCATGCTACCTCCACCAGGCTCTGTCTCAAAGACGCTAAGGGTGCTGGAGGCCAGGCCTGCAAAGGGCTCGGCTGGGTCCAGCTTGCGCTTGAAGAAGATGGGGTGGCGCCGGTCACCGGCATAGGGCTTGCGCCCTGATTCAGCAGCCACCAGGCTCTCCTTGGCAGCAAAGGCCAGGTCTCCGAAAAGGCCATAGCAGAGGCCCTCGGGGTTGGCGCGCTCCACAGGCTGGCTGGCGTCACGGAACAGGTGCTGGCACAGTGTGCTGTCCTTGGAGCCGGACAGCAGGAAGGAGGGGTCATGTGGGTGGCGCCATGCAATGCCCGTTGTGACATCACGGTGCTCCTCAAACATGGCAGCCGGCACGAAGGGCCTGCGCACGTCCCACACGTAGATGTTGTGGTCCACCATCATGGAGCATGTGGCCAGGTGGTGGCGGCACTCAGGCCGCCACTTGACACGAGCCACAGAAGCGATGGTCTGTACGCAGTGCATCTCCTTGGCGCGGTGCGTAGTCATGTCCCAGACCTTTACCATCTTGTCGCGCCCGCCTGTGGCCAGCCAGCCCCTGCAGGGGGGGCCCCACCCAATCCCTCAGTGACCTCTCCTGGGACAGAAGGGACGCCCAGCCCTGTGCTGCCCACTCTCTGTCTCACAGGTCTGGAGGCAGCGAGAGCCTTCTGTGAGCCCCACTGCCCGCCCACATCCCCACACCACACCTATCCTCGGGGTGCCAGTCGCAGCAGAAGACGGGCCCATTGTGGGCTGTGAACATTCTCTCGCATCGGTCAGGCCGCCGGATGTCCCAGAGCTGCACGTTGCCATTCTCGAAGGTGGAGGCAAAGGTGAAATAGTCCCGGATGCTGAACTGGACATCCCGCACACTCTCAGACTGACCTGTGGGCAGGACGTCAATGGAAGAAGAGGTGAGGGGCCCATAGAGGGAAGAGCCCTCGGAATAGTTGGGGAATGATGTCACACACCTGCTTGTGGCCCAGGCCAGCAGTCCCAGAGGGTACGGTGGACATCCTCAAGGACTGCCCAGGGTGGACAGGAGAGGGGAGTGGCCACACAAACAAAAGCCTGGGCTGGGGAGCAGGACACCGGGTGGTGTTTGACACCAATTCCTGGGCCTTGATTTTCCCTGGATTCTGTATGCTACGTCAGTCCTTGGACAAAGCTGTGAACCAGTGTCAGGATGTGGCATCTGGGCATTATGAGAATAAGAGCCCTATGTGGCCATCTGCCCACACTCCCCTGGGTGCACTGAGGCCCCATGGGAAGCCCAAGGAGTCACTGAGGCAGGTGCCCCAGTCTCTGCCCAATCCCTTCATCTCCAGCTGCAGCTACCAGGTCAGCCCTAAAGGACTGGAGAGCTCAGGGTCCAGGTCCACCCTGGTGGACCACCACATCAAGAGCCTGAAGGGGCAGTGCCTGGCCTTCTCCAGCACAGGCAGCTCCCCATCTGTCTTAAGAGGTCCCCAAATTCTCTGAGGCTCTTGAGGGCTCTGTCTTGTGCTTCACTTGGTCTCGCCAAGGTGGACAAGTGAGAGCTGTCTCAGAGCCAGCTACTAGGAGCTGGTCCTGTTAGGAAGAAGTGAGATTAGGAAAGGGGGGTAGCACAGCAAACCCTCTGCCTGGCCACCCAGGCCAGCTGTGAGTCTGCTGGGGCTCTACTCTGCCCCCCATCACCCACCCAGTATCAATTCCTGCTGGTCACACCTCTTGCCTCTCCCCACCGACACTGCTCTCATCTAAGCCTGCCCCTGCCCCACCCCTACTGATGCCCACCCATTCTTCCAGCACTGGCTTGGCTGCTCCTGCCCCAGGAAGCCCTCTGGGAATGCATCTGAGGGCCTTCGATGCATGGAACACTTCACTTCTCAGTCTGCATGGGCAGGCCATGCCTGCAGAGACATGCATCTGCTCCGTCCTGCCTCTGTGGGCCTCACCTGAGAAAGTGCTGACAGAGTCCTTCCTGCGGAGGTCAAAGCACTTCATGAAGCCATCCTGGGAGCCACTGAGCAGCACGTGGGCCTCAGTGGGGTGGAAACAGACTTTGTTCACCGTGCGCTTGTGTTCTGTGAACAGCTGGTCCTGCTTGTTGCGGGATGGCCTGCCCAGGTTCCATGTGACCACCACACCATTGGTGGCCGCTGTGGCCAGCAGATTCTCATCCATCTGGTGCCAGACCACATCGGCGCAGCTCAGGTTGAGTGAGGGCTTGCGACCTACACGCAGGTTCAGCTTCTCCACGAACTGCTCCTCCTCGATAGCATAGATCTTGAAGATGCTGCGGCCTGCCACGACCACCTGTGCCGCATCACGGCATACACTAATGGCGTTGGCCGGTGCATCCAAGTGGCAGTGCATAGTACGGCCCATCAGCGTGCTGCCACCCAGGGCCGTGGTCACACGGGACATCTTCTCCATGGCTGCACAGGTGGTGGGGGCAGGAGGTCATTGAAGTGAGCTGGCTTGGTCAGACTGGGTGGGTCTGTCAGTTCAGACCTTTCACCTTTCAAGCAGTTGGGTACCCAAGAACTGCTTGGGCATGGGCTGGTCCGTCTTGGGGGACTAGTCTGACAGTCCGTCAGCCAGTCAGTCTGCTAGACAAGTTCAGACTCACCGGAGCCGAGCAGTCCAGCTCATCACCCTGGCTGGAGAGTCAGAGGGCTCCGAGACTGATCCAAAGCCGGTCAGTCCCTTGTCTGACTTCCCCGGAGGAACCTACCCGGTCATTTCCAACCCAGGCCGTCTCTCCATACCCCCATCAGACAACTCTGGGCCACTGGACCCTCGGTCAGCCAATCTCAGCAGGGGAGCGAGGCGGCTCCCGCCGTCCACGCGGTCAGCCCTGGGGGCCTGCGAAGGTGGCGGGGCTCGGGGACGAGAGGGGAGGCGGCCCAAGGGCTAGAGGCGTCCAGGGGATCGGGAGACTGAGGCGCCGGGTGCGCAGAGGGGCTTCAAGGATCGAGCTGTTTAAAGAACAGGAGGGCTCTGGCGGTGCCGCCGCGGAACGGAGCACCGAGCGGCTGCTGCGGGGCCGAAGCCGGAAGGGCCGGAAACCTCTCCCTCCGCGGCCACTTCAGTCATTTACTGAAAGCGTGCGGCGGCTCTTCCCACCCGCCCTTGCCGGAAGCGACGCTTCTCTCGCCCATCCTCTCCGGAAGCGGCCCTTCTCTCTCCCGCCCTAGCCGGAAGCGGTCCTTCTCTCTCCTGCCCTCGCCGCCGGAAGCGGGCTCGAGCTCCCGCCCAGGTCGTTAAAGTTCCGGATCAGAGAGCCGCGCGGACGGAGGCGGTGACTGCTCCAGGAGTTTGCGCGCCGCACCGGGCCCTCGGTCCCTCCTGGGTGGTTTGCAACGTGCTTGTTTTTTTTAATCTCAGCATTTAACGCCAGTGCTATTCCTAAGCCCGGGTCCGTCGGCAATGCCGCTCGTCCCTGAGCGAGCCCGCGTCCCTCGATTCCTCTCCGGCTCCTCGCTCGCTCCCGCGCCTCGCCGCGGCGGGGCCCGGGAGCCCCCTGGTGTGGACTCCGCCTGGGCTGCCCGCCCGGCCTCCGCACGCGCCGCGCCTTCTCTTTGCAGCTGCGTTCTCTCTCACCCCTTCGGATGCGGCCCACACGCCGTCGCAGAGAGGCCTTCCCTGCCACCACATCATGTGTAACGGGGCCTCTGCAGTCACTGTCGCCTCCATGGCACTCGTCACGGCCTGCTCCGTGTGCTGGTTGCCGTCACACACGAGTGTGAGCTCCACTGGGGGAGGTGTCGCGCCTTTCTTGGCCCCCACCGAACTTCCAGGACCTGACAGAACCTGTTCCATCAGAGGCCTTCTCTCAGCCTCCCTCTCCTGTGTGTGAGTCCTGGTCTGTCGTTGGAGCACTGCGTAATCTTTTAGGACACGCTCGTTACTCTCAGCGTCAGTTACGCTGTACAGAGAACAGGGCTGAGTTTTGCCTTTCTGGAAGAGTGGGTTAGATCCCACTCTTCGAAAGAGTATTATGTGTGATGGCTTTAGTGGCTCGTCTCCCCCTTTAAGCAGGGGGAGGTTAGGGACCGTCTTTGTTTGTCACTGCTGAGTTCACAGTCTGGCACAGTGGCACCCAGCCTCCACATGTTTGTTGAAAGAAGGAATAAATCTGATGAGTCGAGAGTGCAGAGAAGCCAGATACCTGGGCTGCCCAAGGCAGATATACCCTCCCGTGCGACGGTCCGATGATCCAAACAACTCAGACGCATGTTTTTACAACTTTTTTGATATATATTTTTATAAACAGGTCACGTGATAAAATAGCACAAGAAACACTTACCAAATATAAGGTTATATCTTCCGCATATACAGGAGAATGAGGTCGTTATGTACAATAAGAAAATGATTTTAGGGGTTGGTTGGTTTTGTTTTCCTCTTTCCCCGTAAGTTTTCCTCCTACAGTCGTTGGAAATATCACAGCTTCAGTTGCATTAATACTTTGGGCAAATGGACAGCTGCCCCTACCGGACTAAGGGGCTGTGGGGAGGAGGGGCTGAAGAAACTGGCTCCTGACCACTTCAGCCCTGGAGCCTCCCCAGCCGGCACTCCAGGGGCGGGAAATCTTTGGGCTGTTGAACACAGTTCTCTGCTTCAACAGCATCTCTCTCACTTTCTCTCTCTCTCTCTGGCTCTCTGGAAACTGGTTACTCTCTTCCAACCATATGGGGTGTCCCAAGATTGGGTGTGGGTGCTGTATCTCCTGGGGCTCAAGATTGGGATGGACAGGGGTCCCAGCCCCCTCAGCAATTGCCAAGATGTGCCAGCATCCCCCCAGGACTTCCAAATGTCTTGGGATCGGACAAAACACGGTCAGATCCCATTTGAGCAGGCAGAGGTTTGGGAAGCTGGGAAGGGGGGGGCTAGAAAGGAGCCCTCCCTCCTCAGGGTGTCAAGGATGTGCTGGCCACTGGAAGATCAGAGTCGCTGGTCAGTGCTGATCCTGACCCTTAGCTGGGCCCCCTTCTGCAGCTTCCATCTGATGAGACCCGCCCAGGGTGAAGCGTGGTGCTGAGAGGCCTGAGCTCAGCTGGTTGCAGGGGCTGAGGTGTGGGGTTGACCTAGGCTGCTCTCAAGGCCTGACAGCCCTGAGGGTGGCTCCAGCTTGGGGTCTCAAAGTGCCTTTACCACCTCTGGGTAGAGATTGACTGGAGCTGGCTGGGCTAATGTTGATTATTTGAAGGTAGTCGTCAGCCACTCTACCCCACTCCCACGCCAGTTCTGTTCCAGCCTGGCCAGGGTCCAAGGACATCTAGGTCGGGTAGGGGTGGGGGGACGGACCAGGACTGCCCTACACAGCGGCGAGGAACAGGGGAGGCCGTTTGGGTCAGGCTGGCATGGGGGGTCGGGGGACGGGCGGGACTTGGGCTCCTCAGTGGGCCATGGCTTTGGCGGTGGCCTGTTTTCCCTCGCACCCCTCGGAGGGCTCCAGGCGCGGTGCAGTGGAAGATGCGGGAAACCCTTGGGGCTCTTCCGGGCCCCTGTGTCCTGGGGGACCCGGCCCCCTCCCCGAGTCCCTTTGGGCCCTGCCCGGGATGAGGGTACAGCGGGGAGACAGAGCGGGCTGTGGCGGGGAAGGCGGCGAAGGCTGCCGTCTGGCGGGCTCAAAGCGCCCCCCAAGGCCGAGCCCCGCGCCCCGCAGCGGGCGGGCGAGAGATGGCAGCGGCTGTGGCGAGGTGGAGGGCGGGCGTGCAGTGCGGGCACGAAGGACATGCACAAAAGTCCCCGAGTGCGCTTGCGTGCGTGGAGCTGGCTCCACGCACCGTCCCCCTGCCCGAGGCGGGGCCGGGAGGGGGGCGGGGGACGGGGCCTTCCCCCTGCTCGCTCCGCCTCCGGCGCGGGGCCTGAGGCGTGGAGGC